CCCCAAAACCCCAAAACCCCTTTGTTAAAAATTTATTTAAAGTAAGAAATTTCTAAATATATCGAGAAAAATAGAAGTTTATAAATATGCTATTAAGATAAAATTGATTTAAATTCAATAAATTTACTATCTCAACTTTACTAATGTTGTGGTATATAGCATATCTATTGTTAGCCTATTTCGTTTACGAAAAAGCAATCAAACAATATTACTACTTGTGGTTTTATGAAAAGCAAGGGATTCCAATAACTTACTATCCTCTGCCTTTCATTCAAAATATGAGATAAGTGATTTAAAATATTAGAAAGCTGACTCCTTACAGCAAAATGATATTAATCGAATACTGGGAATAATGATTCGGGAAAACTGTACCTCCCATATTTTGTGATTGTAGGACTCCAACATAAACTATAATTTTCAATGATCCCAAATTAGTTGAAGAGATTTACACAACTAAATCCAAATTTGTGGATAAGCATAGTTAGTTCTAGGAAATTTTTGATGATATACTTGGAATGTCAATAGCGTTTTAGAAATCAACTTAAGAATGGGCGGATAAGAGAAAACATCTGTCTTCTGCATTTTACAAGGACAAGATATTATAAATTCTCAAAAAAGCTACAGGCATAACTTATTAAAAGGTTTAAACATGGAAAGAGAAACTGAAGAATAGCGATGATAGCAAGCAATTAATTGTATTGAATAATGAAGTGTAAGAGTTGCTTGACTAAGTAATTAGTATCTCCATCTTTGGACAAGGAAATTAAAGAACAACTATTCCTTACTATATTAATGGCAAGCCAACACAAATGGTTCCTGGACACTTTATGAGAACAGTAATAAATTATACCTTTAAGAAACTTTAAAATCCATTTAGGATTGGAAATGATTTGTTTAATAAGATTTCTCTCAATGCTTAGGAAAGAGAGACGAGAAATAATTGTATAAGATTCAGAGAATATGTCTAATAAATCCTAGATATTAGAAGAATGGAAATGAAAGAACCAGATTATGCCCCTTAAACTGACTTCTTAACAATGATTTTATAAAATCCATTCTTTGAAGGAAAGGACAAGACCATTGTTGATGAGTGCTGCAATTTCTTTTCAGCTTCGAATGTTACTACTTCAACCACTATAACTAATCTCTTATTCTATCTCATTAGAAACAAAAATATCTCAAAGAAAATCAGAGAGGAATGCAAATAAGATCTTAAAATATAAGATTTTTCTCAGGTAAATTGTGAGTAGTGGTAAAATTTAGCCACCTATGAGGCTCTTAATGATTGCAATTTTCTCTAGTACTGCATAATGGAGACATTAAGATATGATGCTCCAGTCCCAGTTTCAGGCATTCATGTTTTTTTGGAAGATACAAAAATTGGAAACTATTATATTAAAAAAGAATCAACATGGCACATTAATATGAATGCACTACATTTTAATCCTGAAGAATGGATCAGACCCGAGGAATTTATTCCAGAAAGATTTGATCCTAACAATCCTCTCTACCTGACACCTAAAGGTACTAAGCGACATGCTATGTCATTTGGACCATTCCTTGGAGGGAAAAGAATCTGTCTTGGAAAAACTTTTGCAGAGAGTTTGATTAAATGTCTTTCGATAGTGATTATCAACTCAATTGATTTTGAATTTGAGGATAAAGACTTGCTTGATAGGAAACCCTTCAATTCATTTCTCTATGATGAGCCTGAATATCTTGTCAGGTTAAAGCCATTAGACAATTGAAATAAACATTTAAGGATTTAAAACATTTTATTTGATAAATCAAAACCATTTTTAATATTGATTTTATGGGGTTTTGGGGTTTTGGGG